TTCCTGTCCGTAGTCCGACTCCAAGTCTGTTCCTGCATCATCATCTTGGTTGTTGCTGAGATTGCGGAAATGGGTAATGTCGTAGTCCCCGCCGGTATCGTCGGCCTCGTGCTCGGCTTCCTCGTCGCTCTCTTCGCTGCTCTCGCTGCTGCTACCACTGCCCACTGGACTGCTCTCCTTTTCTATGCTTGCGGCTTCTTCGCCTCGCTCGTGACGTCTCTCGGCGTATGTTCTCGATGCAAAATTCTCCTCGGGGCCGTCTTGGTCTTCCGACATTTGGTCCTCCTCTACCCTAAGTGCTTCTTCATCCTCAGCATCGTCTCTCGCCTGACGCTCGCGGTCATCTTCCCATGTCTCGCCTTCGGCGTCCTGAGGACTAGACGCCCGGCCCTCATGCATTTCGCCAGACTCTGCAGGCTTCGCGGGCGATCTCGAGTAGTGTGCTGACGTGAGTCCCCATGGTATTTGCTGAGGCTCAGCGACCCCATCAACCATGACTGTGTGGTGGGGCTGCGCCTCCAGATCGTGCTGCTGCGGGTGGTCTTGGTACGCGGGTATCGGTTCTGCCAGCGGCTGCGACGTGACGACACCGTCTGGGCCGAAATGTGGCTCGTCGAGGAACGTCGCCGGGTAGTGACCATGCATAGGCGAGTGATCAAGCCCTGCCTCCGGGTATGCACTGGGTTGTTCATGAAACGTGCCTTCGGCACCGTAGTGTGGCTCCATGTCGTGGCCAAAGACCGGATCGAGAGGCGGCTGCTGAAACGCCGTCGGGTACTGCTCGTGAGCGGATGTGAATATCGGCATAGGCGGCGGCGGTCCAAATCCAAGCGGAGTCAGCCCAACGTTGGGACTGGGAGGCAGATCAGACTGAACCCCTGAATCGATCATTGTCGACTTCGACGGCGTCTGCCAGTACGAAGGGTCCTGCCGCGCCTCTGCTGCTACCTGGACGTCTCTCGGGGGGCTCGTCTCTTGCTCCACTGTCTGGCAGGCCCCGTCCACCATCGTAGGCCGTGACGGCGTGGCAACCGTTGGCTGCTCCTCAACCATTGATGTGTCTTCTTCCGCGGATGCTTCAGGCTCGGGGCTCGGAGTTCGACTGGCGTATGTCCAAACGCTGCTGTACCTGCCCGTCTTTGGCTTCTTCTTGGCCCGGGCCTTTGCTCCGTCGTCCGCCTCATCAAAGATGTCGAGGCCCCCATCGAACAACGATCCGTACGAAACCCTGGCACGCTTGAGGAACGCGGGGGACGCAAACTCGTCGGCGCCAAGACCTTGATCGGCGGCTCTCTTGCTCAAAGGTGTTTTCGCGGGTGTCGCTATCGGCCCCGGGGTCTCTTCGACATCCTGGAACGTTTCGAGGATAGACACCGGTAGCTCTTCAGGCTCTGGCTCGGGTTGTGCGGGGTGGTCGACATCGATAACCTTGACCTCTTCGGAGTCGCTTATTTTCGCCTTTGTTGTCTTAGCAAGCACCCCCTCCAGCGCACACGCTTAACCTACCTGGAGAAGCACCCTCTCCGTAAACCTCAGCTGCCACTCCAAACTCGTACCCGGAACGCGCGTCTTGGAGTCGTCCGCAACGAGCTCGACCCCGTCCAGCGACAGCGCAATCTCGTCGCCGCTGCCCAGAGCCGCATCCGCAATCGCTTTGGCGCTCGAGCCGGCAAACTCGACGCGCACCTGGCCCTTGGCGCGACGCAGGCGGAAGTCGGCCTCGGCGAGGAGGAAGGCAATGTTCTTCCTAACGATGCTGTAGGGCCACGTGATTGTCACGACGCCCCGGACGACGCGCGTCTTGGGGTCCTGGAGCGCGGGGCTCAGTTGCGCGATCGCGATGGCCTCGGCGGCTTCGAGCTGCTGCTGCGCTGCGGGTTGCGGGACCCCAGACATCGCGTCATGAGTTTGAAGGGGACGCGGCGGAGCTGATGAGTGTGTATTCGGAGATGTCGAGCATCAGCGGGGTGTTGTCGCAGTGTCGAAGGTGTGGTTGTGCTAAATGAATGTGGGATGGAAACGGTCGCAAAGGTCGATTCGGTAGCACCGCATGGTCGTGGTGTGGATGGAATGTGGAACAAGGGAAGCTCCTGCTTGAGCTGCACGAATTGCGCGGGAAGGCCCCACACCTCTGTGGCAGAAAAAAGCAGGCGGTGTGCGTGACTGCCGGATGGCTCGTTATCGATAAGCTGGGCTTCGGAGCCGGCTGGCCTTCCGGATCGTCGCCGGGTCACCTGACGACCTGCCATGGGTCGACCTTGCGCAGATTAACCTTTTGGACATGCACTCCGGACCAGAAGAGGTAGGCCATGGTAGACATGTCATTATTGTCATCTCTCTCGCCCAAACATCCGATTGCGTTGGCTTTGCGACGTTGATGTAGGGGAGCGGAGGGAGTCCCCGTTTTACCCGCCCGGTGTCCACCACTCTGTCCGAAAAGGAACCGATTAGGTGATTTCCCGCCGATATAACGCGTTGGCACCTCGTGGGTCCAAGACTTGTTGTCTATAGTTTAAAGAGCGGCCACTAGATCATTCTTCCGTTGCATAGCACCTAAGGTCATCCATGTCTCACAGACCATGACAATCCCGTTCAACATCAAGAAGATCGCCATCATCGGCGCGGGGCCGACGGGTCTCGCAGCCGCTCGGTACCTCATGGCGCAAGGTGCCTTTGACTCCATCGTCGTGTTCGAGCAGCAGGCCGAGGTAGGCGGCGTCTGGAACTACAGCCCTCACCCGACCACGTCTCGCCATGTACCGCAGACGGACCCCTTTTGCCCGCAGGACCCTCCGCTCCGGCCGGGCAAGCCCGATGCGCCGCCCGTGTTCCCCACACCAATGTACGGCACGCTGCACGCCAACACGGTCAAGACGACAATGAACTACAAGGACACGCCGTTCCCGGACGACGCCTGGGTCTTCCCCTCGCGGCAGTCCATTTACAACTACCTGGTCGAGTACGCCAAGGACGTCCGCCACCTCATCAAGTTCTCGCACCAGGTCACGGCGCTCGAGCTCCGCCAAGAGGACGGCCGAGACAGGTGGGACCTCGGAGCCGCGTGCACCATCACCGGCCGCAAGTTCAGCGACACGTACGACGCCGTAGTCATTGCCAACGGACACTACGACATCCCCTTTATCCCGGACGTCAAGGGCATTCAGGCCTTTCACGAGGCGCACCCGTCAGCAATCCTACACTCCAAGAACTACCGCGTGCCGGAGCCCTTTTCAGGCAAAAAGGTGATTGTCATCGGCAACGGGCCCTCGGGCTTGGATATAGCCCGCCAGCTCAGCCCGGTCTCGGACAGGGTGTATCTGTCTGTACGACATGCGACTCCGCCGGACAAGGTCGAGCACATTGGGGTGACGGAGGTTCCAGAGATTGTGGAGTATTTACCAGAGAAGAGGGCTGTCGTCTACAAGGACGGGACAGTGGCGGAAGATGTCGACGCCGTCATCTACTGCACCGGCTTCTTCTTCAGCTTCCCATTCTTGCCCGAGTTCCTCAAGCCAAATCTGTTGACGACCGGCAAAGGCGTCAGGGGCCTGTACCAGCACCTGTTCCTCATCAAGCACCCCACTTTAGCCTTTGCCGGGCTGCTGGTCAAGACAGTGCCCTGGCCCGTGGCGGAGAACCAGGCGGCGGCTCTGGGTGCGGTCTGGTCCAACGGGTTGAAGCTGCCGCCTGTGGAGGAGCAGGAGAAATGGGAGCTGGACTTGTTCAAGAGGCGCGGCGACAAGAACATTCACGTGCTGCTCGACGACGGAGACGACGGCCGCCACCTCAACATGTTGCACGATTGGGTGGCGGAGTCGACGCAGAGAGGCAAAGAACCGCCATACTGGCACGACGAGCAGTTCTGGGAGCGCGGTATCTACTGGCCAAGCAAGCAGGAGTTTGAGAAGCGAGGAGGGAGCGCGACGAGTCTTCGGGAGCTTGGCTTCGTGTACCCCGGCATAGGGAAATGGAGGCACGTTGCGCCGAAGCTTTGATGGGCCACAAGCATAGAATCTAGATTTAGCGAATGCAAGACTTCACGATTCCCAGGATGAGCAGGATGATGACTGGCTGCGATCGCGAGACAATGGCGCAACGTCCAAACGCTGTCACTCCAGTGACATGGGAGGTCCAGAGCTCCCTTGACAGTATCCGCCCTCTGGAGCTCCTTTGAGAGTCAAGCTCAAACAACCCCTCGTGTTCAATCTGAGAGCTCCAGGATGAGGTAACCGAATGCAGGGTAGCGGGGCAGGGGGAGCTGTCAGGCGAAATGGTACCGAGCGCGTTTCCGGGCCAGCGAGCGACTGTTTAATGACGACGGGTGGGACACTTTTTTTCGGTTGACAATCTGAGGAAATGAGCAGAACCGGACTCCGTACGCTGGAGTCAGTCGCGTCTTGGCCAGCTCTCGTGCGATGGAATAATCCTTTGGTCATCGCCATCTGCTGGTGCGTCCGTATGAATCGAGGTCGAGGAGGCTCCTTGGCATACAAGTATCCCACGGTTCGACGGCTGGCGATGCGTCTCTGTCCAATCATTCCGGGTCCCCCAGCTGGATGCGTGATAGCAGGGCAAATAAGGTGACCGCAGTGGGGGGATGATGATCGCCGGAAGCGATGGAAGCAGCCGATGGGCTGGCGCCACGCTCTGACTTTGTCCGCCTGGCGTGGCTGATCAAGCTGCAAAGTCTGCGCCTTGAGTTTGCCAGCTCGCCACTAGTGATAAAGCTTGCCGACAGCTTTCAGAGCTCTCTGGCAGTCTAGGTTGACATTCGCCGTCCGTGACCACGGCCGTGGGCCATGTTACCGTGCAAAACATGCACGTCTGGCAGGGAAACTCTCTGCATCCGAGCGTCGAGTGGCAGTGTCGTGCAGCCTGCCATCTCATGTCGTGGAGAGAACGTGCGAGGGTACAGAGTGGTGTCTGGAAGATGGTCAATGTGTGTTCTTGTCAACCTAGCTGAGAACGCGAGAATATCGCGAATGCAGAATCAGAGCCCCTCAAAGTCTGTCAAGGACTCCCGGGCAGCATGCTGGCCCAGGCGGTGGCTGCATCAAGTCGAGACAGGGACACCCATCGAAGTCCCAGCATGACGGGCACGGAAAGACGTCAAGATGCGGCGGACGCATCGCATAGTACCACTCTAGGGCATGGATGTTCTCTGCAGCCATGCAGGAAGCGGATAGCACCAGGGTCTTCAGCGACGCGCAGTCCGGTTCCTTTCTAACGCGCCCCCAATGCAAACGGCGCAAAGGCTGTCTCGCGACACGTCAGATGTGCGGTGCTAGAGGCGAGTTGCCGTGGCAGTCGAAGCTGCTGTGGGTGCTGTATCCGTACAGCTGTAGAGAAACCAGAAAGGCACGGACGATGCAGACAACGACTACGCGGACGATGCGGATGGACGTGGAGAGATGTCGGTGGCCGAATCGATAGTTGTGATATTATTAGGAGCGTGTGTTGGATTGTCGAGACCAACTGGGCTGGACTGGCTGGCGAAAGCCGCGAAAGCGCGTTTGCATGACGGGGGTGCTCTGGAGGCCTATTAACCCAGAACAGCGGCCACTCCACCCCATCATCCACACACATCGCCGCATTGGTGGACCACCACGACGCCCAGGTTCTTTTCAGGTGGCAGGACAGGCAAGAGGTACCTCGCCCACTATTGTCCCTGCCTTCGGGTACCTGACTTTGGTCCGCATTCCCACTGGGCGTGGTGGATGGCCCAGCACAAGGACTACAAGGTCCCTGGCCATCCCCGTATGCGGCAACCAATATCCATCAAATCTCATTAATAAATCTCCTCTTTCTTTCGACAACGCCAGACACCTAATCTCCTTTTGCCGACTGCTCCTTTGCCTTTGCGCCTTGCCCTTCCCTTCTTCCCCCAGTGTCATCTGTCGTCTCATCGCGCCAGCTTCAATTCTCTAACCTCGCGAAACATCCTCGTTCTTTCACCAACGACCTTCCTTTGATCCGCTTCTCTCTTTGAATCCTCACCAGCGACCTTGTCTACCTCACCTATCCGTTCTTTCTTATTCTTTAGCAACGCAGCTGCCTTTGAATCCCTGCGCTCCCTTGCATTAGGGAACTGCGCCGCGCCTACAACCACTGACGTCTGCCGTCTGGAACACCCTGCAACCACCCGAACGACAACCCGAGCAATCGACGTCTTTCCAGCAACCTCCACAGACCGGAGCCACGAACGCGAGACACCACCGAGACATCAGTCAGCCGGATAGGGACGTCCATGATTGTCAACAAACACCACCGATGATCCACGACATGGCCTTGCGCATCCAAGACGTCTTTTTCCCAGGTTCATAGAAGCAAAGGTCATGCCTGCCTACTCGACAGATCAACCGCTCGTTCGACAACCGACAACAACTACTCAGCAATCAATATCATGACCGATCCTCCGCCACCCATCACCCCGGGGCCGGGCCACCAGCTACGCCCGGCCAGGCGCCAGTACCGCCACTCCGACGAGCACTCGCCCACCCGTGCCCGAACCAACGACGACCTCTTGAGCCGCCTTACACCACTGACCGCCGTCGAGATGCTCCAAACACCAAACACTGAACTAAAACAATGCCTCGACAACTCTACCGTCAACGAACAGGAATTCGCCATGCGCGCCGCCGTGGCCAGCCGCAAGATTTACGAATGGCTGGAGGAGCTTTCCGACTGGCCCTGGCCTTCCGCCAGCGGCTCGGCCGGTTTTGAGGTGCCAGAGGCAAAGCGGACGAAACTCGACGAGGATGCCGACGAGTCGGTGTACCTCGGGAGCCTACCCGCCGAGAGCGTCGCCCAGTACGAGCAGCGCGTGGACGGCATCTCTCACGACATGGACGAGCTGCACATTGAAGAAATCAAGACCCACGTCATGCACACCCACATCATTCCGCTTTCGAGACCCGGAACGCCGTTGTCTCCGACGCGGCCCATTGGAGGCGGATCACTTACGTACAACCGAATGGACGACTTGACGGCTCTCCTCACGGCAATCATCGTCCAGGCACTGCCAAATCTGTCCAAGCTCTGCCGACTGCTGAAAGTCTGGCACATCCGCCTCTCTGTCCTCCGTCGCATACCCGATCTGCTGTCTGGCATTGCAGAGGCAGAGTTTGCCCTCGAGTCGGCATGGGACGTGTTGTCGTCTCCCGCGGGAACGCCATCCGCCGAAGAGGGAGCCCAGGACACCCACTCCCAACTCAAACACGCCGTCACTGTTGTCAAGTCAGTGTTGGAGACGCAAATCACAAAATCCGGACGCAGCCTCGATTTCATGCTCGACAGTCTCGAGGGGCTGCAGGATACACTGCCCGACGCCTGGCTTGACCGTATGGAAGCCGTCGAGCGCAACTACGCCGACTGGGTGACCTCAGGCGAGCAGAGGATCCGACAAGGGGACTGGGCTAGCGTACGTCAACAGAAAGCGCTTCCACCGGTGATCAGAGAAGAGGCCGAGGCGGAGCCCACGAAATCCATTGGCCTGCCTGTTGTGGACGACGACGTCATCACTCTGCCAGTGCCCATCACCATTAACCCACCCGAAGACGACAGCCAGCCTGCCTCTGATGATGAGGCCACTCCGGAGCAGTCTGACGGTTCCGAGGACGACACAATCGAGCTGTCTCCCTCGCAACTGCAAGCGCAGAAGAAGACGCAGCCAGTCGCCGGCCTTGACGGCTCCAGCGAGGCTACAAAACCCAAACGGACGCCACTGGGCGAAGTGCAAAACGAAGAAAACACCAAAAGAAAGGTGTCGGGCAAGGAATCCGTCGTGTCGAAGCTTAGAGCAGTCTTTGAAAGCAACGCCAGGTCCAGCTCTGACGACGCGGACGAGATTCTGCCCGACGATGAAGAGATGCAGTTGCCACCGCTGATCCGACCCGACCGACGCGGAAGTGACGCTTCGGACTCGTCTACAATCATCCATGGCCACACGAGCCTGCTCGCAGATGCCTCGAGCGACATGCCCGAAGTCTCAGCATCGCCTCCTCTGCCACGCCAGAAGCGTGCCGAGACCCTGGGCCGCAAGTCGGCTGCTGACCGCTTCATGAGCATGAGCCCTCCCAGCTCTCCCCCGTTCCAGCCGAGCTACAGAGAAGACAGCGTGAGTCCTATGGTGAGGCCCCAAGACGAGGGTCTCCTGCCGGCCCTCCCTCTGGAGTCGTCATTCAACGAAGACGACTTTGATCACTCCTTTATCAGCATAGGAACGCCACGAGAGACCGGCAACAAAGAAGACGACCACCTGCGAAAGCAAATCAGCGACATTCTAGAGTCTATCCCCGCCAACATCAAGCTGGCCAGAGCGACACCCAAGGTGGACTTGAACCCGCCGCCGCCCGATCTGCCCACCCTGCCGGCCAAGAGGCTGAAGAAGCCATCCCGGGAGACCATGCGGAGGAGCGTCTCTGCCATGTCGACGACATCGCGGACATCTTCGCGGGCGACGACGCCGTGGCTGACGCTTGCTCCCGCATACGCCAAGAACCCCAGGCCCAGACGCCCTGGAAGCGGACAAGACGTCAGGGTCTACCACCTCTCGCGGTCCACCGGCGAAGCACCCATCAAGCTCCTCATCCGCTGCGTCGGCGAGCATGGCGAGCGCGTCATGGTGCGTGTCGGGGGTGGATGGGCCGACCTTGGCGAGTACCTCAAGGAGTACGCCTCGCATCACGGCCGGCGCTCTGCCGGACCGGTAGAGAAGGCCGAGATCAAGGTCCAGGACTTGCCGCGTGCGAGCAGCCGTGCCGCGAACTCGAGCCCGCCGAGTCGGCCAGCCTCCGCGCTGGAAATGTCACCCATGACGCCGCTCAACGTCAGAAAGTCTAGAAAGTCTTTTGGCGCCGGCGACTCATCGGTGCCCCGGCTCCTCCCCAACACGCCTGCCGTCCCGCCGATCCCGGACAAGTTCACGCCCACGCCGTCGTCGGAGGACTCCAACCGGTCCCGGTCGAGCTCCCACATCAGCTGGGAAGAGGACGAGAGCTCGTTCCTTGGCCTGGCAGGACCCACTGGCCGCAAGGTCGAGATGAGCGAGGAGAATCGGGCGTGGGTGGAGAGCGTCAAGGAAAAGGTGCGTGCCGCTAGCGGCGAGACGCGCAAGATTTCAGAGTTTGGCGATATGGGCAAGGTCGGCGGCACGAAGCGTGTGTTTCGGAAGGGCTAGGCTGGGGGTCTGAATTGGCGTTTACAGCAACTTGGGGTGCTAAGAGATATCGACACGGTGGGACGGAGTCAAGCGACTGGAGTCGGGAGCATGTCTTTTGCGCCACGAGTCGAAAGCATACCATGACGGAAACATTTCATTACATCATATCGAGGCGGGGGGGAACGCTTCATCACAACGGCATAGCATGGCCTGGGTTTTTTTTCCACATTTTCTTCCGGTTGTCTTCATCATCCCCTCGAGCGCAGGATTTCCTTTTGCGGTCCCCGTCATTCTTCGTACGAATACCCCTTTTTTTTTTTGCTTTGCCTTGAGGCATGTGCCCGGGCATGTGCTAGGCATAGAGAGTCAGATAGTTGAAATGCCAGAAACCCATTTTACATTACCGAGGTGTTGCGTGGAGGTGAAAATGGCAGCGATGGAGGCTTGAGGTGGATTGGATGCGCAGTTCCGTCGGTAGTCGGAGGAGGTCGGGAGGCTCCGGGTATAGTCCCGCGTGGGGGCCGGGGCCTGACATGAGGTAGTACCACGCACATGGGAGGAGGAACGTCGTTGCAACCCCGGACTCACGCAAGTGCGGAGGATCACGGGGCATGACGGCAGATCCTCCATCCACCTCACCACCACCACCATCACCACCCCTGTCCGCCGTACCATCCACCCGTCCACGCTATCCACAACTTTACCTTGCATGCACCATACTCCGCGCCCGCCCGCTCCATCCCCCAGATAGAACTGTACGGTACACGAGACCGGGGCCGGGCGGCGTAAGCAAGCTTCGCCGATGGAAGTGGTGTGGGGGAGAAAGCGCTGCAAAACGACTGGGGGGTTCTCGGTTTTTCTCACCACAGTACAGAACAGGTAGTTACATGGTGTACTTTCCCAACCCCTACAGGGATGATGGCACAGCTCTCAACATCTAAACCGAGGCACCGGCGCGGGGGGGTTGAACCGGCCGAGGGACCTGATCTGAGGTGAGAAAACGGTGCCGCG